TAATATTTATAGATTTTGCACACAGATGTACACCATTGAAGAAAAATCATCAAATACTACATTCCTTCCTTGAGTATGTCAATGCCTCACATGTGTAGTATTTTGACCACATGCAATACAGTTTTAACCTTTGTTTTTATTGTCAAAGAATAAAAAGAGTTATGTTTGGAATTCTGTTGACCTGAGGTTTAGAGACATTTAGAGATAAGGACAGCTGGGGAAGTTGAGGATTAGGATTAATGAGAATGGGGAGAGGCTGTTGTGCACAAGACATAAGAATTGTCTCTCTTGATCTAATTTGGTGGAGTGATTTTATGTCCCCAGATTACAATGGGAAAGAAGCCATGCATATCTTAGGTTTACTCCATTCAGAACTCTACATTACAGAGGTTCGGTACCCTAACGCTTTAATATCTGGATTGGTTCAATAATTATGTGACTGGGTTTAATACAGACAAATGTAAATACAAATAACTATTGCTCAGTTTCAACCAACCTTTAATAAACTACCTGAAAGAACTAACCTGTGGAAAATGGGAAACAGAAAGCATGGCAGCTAGAGAGGCAATTAAAGGACCACTATAGGCACCCAGACCACTTCAGCTTAATTAAGTGATCTGGGTGCCAGGTCCAGCTAGGATTAACCCTTTTTTTTATTTTTTATAAACATAGCAGTTTCAGAGAAACTGCTATGTTTACACTGAGAGTTAATCCAGCCTCTAAAGCCTCTAGTGGCTGTCTCATTGACAGCCGCTAGAGGCGCTTGCGTGCTTCTCACTGTGAAAATCACAGTGAGAAGACGCCAGCGTCCATAGGACAACATTGTAAATGCATTGTAAATCCTTTCCTATGAGACTGGCTGAATGCGCGAGCGGCTTCTGCCGCGCATTGCCATTCAGCCGATGACGGGGAAAGGAAGAAGGAGAAGAGGCGCTGGAGAAAGGTAAGATTTTAACCCCTTCCTCTCCCCAGAGCCCGGCGGGAGGGGAACCCTGAGGGTGGGAGCACCCTGGGGGCACTATAGTGCCAGGAAAACGAGTATGTTTTCCTGGCACTATAGTGGTCCTTTAATGCAAGCGGTTTCATAACATTAAATGGGCACTATAGTCGCCAAAACAATTTTAGCTTCATGAAGCAGTTTTGGTGTATAGATTATGTCCCTGCTCAATTCTCTGCAATTTAGGAGTTAAGTCACTTTATTTATGCAGTCCTAGTCACACCTCTCTGCATGTCACTTACACAGACTTCCTAAATACTTCCTGTAAAGAGTCATCTAATATTTACACTTCCTTTTTTGTGAATTCTGTTTAATCTACAAATACTTGTCTCCCACTCTGGTTTTTTTTCAGTATTTCATTTTTATTGATGATTTTTCTTTACAATAAATGTAAATACATTTCTACAGTTCAGAGAAACAACAATCTCCCACTCTGCTAATAGCTTGCCAGACCCTGCAGAAGTCTCCTTTGTGTAATTAAAATTCTATTTACAGAGCAGGAGATAAAAACGTTTCAAGTAAGCTACATCTGATTGAAAATTAAAAAAAAAATTCCAAGCAGGCTGTGTCAGTCACAGCTGAGGGAAGGTGTGGCTAGAACTGCATAAACAGAAACAAAGGTGATTTAACTCTTGAATGGCAGAGAATTGAGCAATAAGGCTGCAGGGGCATGCTTTATACACAAAAAAATGCTTCATTAAGCTGTGGTTGTCTTTGTGACTATAGTGTCCTTTTAAATAAAAATTATAGATTTCAAACCAATACTGGTCTGCCTTTGTAAAAGCTAGTAAGGTGCTTTGTCTTCCTCAGACAGTTTGTAGCCAAAAACCACCGCAGCTAAGCACAATCTCTCTCAGTGCAGGTTTTAAATAAATGTAAAGGGCTGTACTCCATGTTTACTTTGGATGCTGCATACAGCTCATCTGTTAGTCTTGAGCTACAAAATACCAGATATCGATTGTTGTAGCCATGCGATTGTTGTTGTTGTAGCCACTGGAGACTGGTGCAGCAGGGATTTAACCCCGTACTATTATGCCCTATTTTAGGTGGCTCTAAATGCCGCTGGGCGTTATAGTACGCCCTCCGGTCTTTCATTACTTACCCGGTCGCCGGTGATCCCACGCCGGCGATCGCGGTTGGGGGGACTCCCAGGGAGCCCCTCGTGGCACGTCCGACCCCCTGGAAGTCCCCTGTCCATGTGAGAGTGAGGTCCTTGCGACGACCTCACAATCACATGATCGGGATAGCTGGCTGCAGCATTGCCAGCAGGGGGACTGCCTGTAATGACAGGTGGTCCACCTGCTGGCTGAAAATAAAAATAAATAAAAGTTAAAAGTGTAAAAAAAAAATAATATATACTTAGATCATATATATATATTATATATATATGATCTAAGTATATATATACACATATACATACACACACATACACTGTCTAGGTGTATTTTACTATTAATATATATATATATATATATATATATATATATATATATATAATTATATATATAGCAAATTAGACGTAGACTGATACTGATTAAATATTTATATATATAATTATTATTATATAAAAAAATTTAATATGTAAATACGTTAAAAAAAATAATTAAAAATATATAGATGTGTGTTATTTCGTTCTAACTGTATTGTGATATTAATATATATATATATATTTATATCAAAATACACGTAGAACGAAATAATATATATATATCTATATACATAAATATATACGTATATATCACTATATATATACCTATGTATAAATAAAAATATTTTAAAAAAATTATATATATACATATATATTCACATACGTATATATATACATATATTAATTCTACATATATATTTATGTAATAATTTTACATAATTGGGTATCTTAATTAATTACAATTAGTGGGACCTGCCTGACAACCCATGCCGAAAGTAAAGGGAATTTAATTTGTTAGCACTATATTTAACCCTATAACTTTCCAAGACACCATAAAACAGTTTGTAGCCAAAAACCACCGCAGCTAAGCACAATCTCTCTCAGTGCAGGTTTTAAATAAATGTAAAGGGCTGTACTCCATGTTTACTTTGGATGCTCTACTCGGGGGACTTCGCTGAACACAAATATTAGTGTTTCAAAACAGTAAAATGTATTACAACGATGTTATAGCCAGTAAAAGTGACGTTTTTTGCATTTTTCACTCACAAACAGCACTTACACGGACGATATTATTCCTGCGCTACTTTTTACTGTTTTGAAACACAAATATTTGTGTTCAGCGAAGTCTCAACAGCGAGTACAACAGTACCCCCCATGTACAGGTTTTATGGTGTTTTCAAAAGTTACAGCATCAAATATAAGGCTTGTGTTTCATTTTTTTCACATTAAAATTCGCCAGATTGGGTACGTTGCCTTTGAGACCCTACGGTAGCCCAAGAATGAAAATTACCCCTATGATGGCATACCATTTGCAATAGTAGACAACCAAAGGTATTGCAAACGGGGTATGTCCAGTCTTTTTTAGTAGCCACTTAGTCACAAACACTGGCCAAAATTGGCGTTTTTTTGCATTTTTCACACACAAATACTAAAGCTAACTTTGGCCAGTGTTTGTGACCAAATGGCTACTAAAAAAGACTGGACATACCCCATTTGCAATACCTTGTGTTGTCTACTATTGCAAATGGTACGCCATTATGGGTGTAAATTTCATTCCTGGGCTACTATAAGGTCCCAAAGGCAACGTAGCAAATCTGGCGAATTTCAATTTCAAATGTAACATGCTATATTTGACCCTGTAACTTCCCAAAATGCTATAAAACCTGTACATAGGGGGTACTGTTTTACACATGAGACATTGCTGAATACAAATATGTGTATTTTATTGCAGTAAAAGCAAACAGTATTATGACATTGACAGTTAAAATGTCATGTAGAACTAAAAAAATCAAAAAAATCGTATTTTCTCCCATTGTTTTCATATTAAATTATGTTTCATAGCTAAATATTTGATATTAAATGAAAGCCCTGTTTCCCCTGAATAAAATGATATATAATAAGGGTGGGATGCCAGGTTTTGTTTACATTTTGTTTCGTTCACGTGTACATTTGGCTCCGTCCTTAAGGGGTTAAAAAAGGGCTGTATGAAGAGCTCACTTTGAGTGTCTCATGCATATCATTGGTCAGCAAAGGACCACTAATTCCAGCCCAGGCTGACAGAGTGGAACCCCCGGAATTGAATAAACCCAGTAGTTCCCAGTTACCAGCAGGGAAACAGTCCTCACTGGTAAAATAGTCATGACAGAATCATTTCATTATGGGTCCTTAACGGAAGGACATGTGTGACAAAATAATTACATTATTGGTTGTTAAGGGGTTAATTGCACAAATGTCAGATTGTTTTACACTCTTTGTTCACCCTATCAGCTAGGATATTAAATCATAGATAACATATCTGGAAATCTAGACTATGAGTCCTTTGTTTACTTTTTAATGACCAAGTCCATCAGTTCTTTCATTAACCTATGCAGTTTCAAAACAATAATTTTCTCACCCTAAATAATTTTATAGATTGAATGCTTGTCAAAGACTCAGATGGGTTTACACATAGGCAGATAATCATTGGATAACTGGTTAAATGTCCTATTCTTATGATGGCTGTTTTGCTAGCTAACACATTGCTGCAGAATCTTTGTTTCCTTTCTATTAGATTAAACTGGATCTGTTACTTGTCAGGCAGAGATATGTATTTCTTCCTTTTTTACCAACCTCAGAACAAAAAGGATTGAAGCATTAACATGGGGTTGCAGAGGTTAGTAAAAAAGATACTTATTTATAGTGCACTTCCATTTTACATATGTGTGGTGAAATGCACATACAATATACGTTATACACATATTGTGACACAATCCTCAGGGAAACACTTCAACACTGTTTGTGTGATTGTTCACGTATCCAACACCCCTTAGATTGCTCAGAAAAGGTGAATGTACCTATCTTTTCTTCATCGCCACACCAGTCTCAGCAGCTGGCCCCACCTCCATGACTAAGATCATCAGTTTTGATGATCTCAGCCAATCCAATGCTTTCTCATAGGAAAGCATTAGGATGATATTGCTCAAACATGTCAAAACGCTGCTCTGTGCCAATTAGTATTTCCTTATAGAGATGCATTGAATCAATGCCTCTCTATTGGAATGTTCATGCTAATGTTCATGCTAGGAAGCACCTTTAGGGGCTGTCTGAGTGACTGCAACTAGAGGTGTTACTAGCCAGCAATGTAAAAACTGTCTTTTCTCTGAAAAAGCAGTGGTTACACTGCTAACACTGCAGGGACAGATTATAGATGCCAGAAATATTACATTAAGCTGAAGTTTTTCTGGTGACTACAGTGCACTTTTATCATTTGTATTTTATTGAAGGTTTTCACAATATATAAATTCAGTACATAGTTACATCTCAGTGAAATGAGAACATGAATGCAAAGTCATCGACACAGTATGATGAGGTGGTACAGTTTGAGCAACTGAGGACTATATACAGAATGAAATATTGACTCTGAGTTAGAAAAGTCCTGAGTCTGTTTTTCAGACCTTCATGTAGCCATATGTCAATTCATAGAAAAAACAACACATAAAGGTAAACAAAATTCATAAGTAACAAAAGTGCAATAAAATTATATGAGAAAAAGTGTGAACTGGCTGACATAATAATAGGTTTCTGCGATATTCTCTTCTTTGTTTCTGTCATGGTGTAACACCCTAACTCTTCTGAACATGTGTACAGGTTTGGACATACAGGGAGTGCAGAATTATTAGGCAAATTAGTATTTTGACCACATCATCCTCTTTATGCATGTTGTCTTACTCCAAGCTGTATAGGCTCGAAAGCCTACTACCAATTAAGCATATTAGGTGATGTGCATCTCTGTAATGAGAAGGGGTTTGGTCTAATGCCATCAACACCCTATATCAGGTGTGCATAATTATTAGGCAACTTCCTTTCCTTTGGCAAAATGGGTCAAAAGAAGGACTTGACAGGCTCAGAAAAGTCAAAAATAGTGAGATATCTTTTAGAGGGATGCAGCACTCTTAAAATTGCAAAGCTTCTGAAGCGTGATCATCGAACAATCAAGCGTTTCATTCAAAATAGTCAACAGGGTCGCAAGAAGCGTGTGGAAAAACCAAGGCGCAAAATAACTGCCCATGAACTGAGAAAAGTCAAGCGTGCAGCTGCCACGATGCCACTTGCCACCAGTTTGGCCATATTTCATAGCTGCAACATCACTGGAGTGCCCAAAAGCACAAGGTGTGCAATACTCAGAGACATGGCCAAGGTAAGAAAGGCTGAAAGACGACCACCACTGAACAAGACACACAAGCTGAAACGTCAAGACTGGGCCAAGAAATATCTCAAGACTGATTTTTCTAAGGTTTTATGGACTGATGAAATGAGAGTGAGTCTTGATGGGCCAGATGGATGGGCCCGTGGCTGGATTGGTAAAGGGCAGAGAGCTCCAGTCCGACTCAGACGCCAGCAAGGTGGAGGTGGATTACTGGTTTGGGCTGGTATCATCAAAGATGAGCTTGTGGGGCCTTTTCTGGTTGAGGATGGAGTCAAGCTCAACTCCCAGTCCTACTGCCAGTTCCTGGAAGACACCTTCTTCAAGCAGTGGTACAGGAAGAAGTCTGCATCCTTCATGAAAAACATGATTTTCATGCAGGACAATGCTCCATCACACGCGTCCAAGTACTCCACAGCGTGGCTGGCAAGAAAGGGTATAAAAGAAGAAAATCTAATGACATGGCCTCCTTGTTCACCTGATCTGAACCCCATTGAGAACCTGTGGTCCATCATCAAATGTGAGATTTACAAGGAGGGAAAACAGTACACCTCTCTGAACAGTGTCTGGGAGGCTGTGGTTGCTGCTGCACGCAATGTTGATGGTGAACAGATCAAAACACTGACAGAATCCATGGATGGCAGGCTTTTGAGTGTCCTTGCAAAGAAAGGTGGCTATATTGGTCACTGATTTGTTTTTGTTTTGTTTTTGAATGTCAGAAATGTATATTTATGAATGTTGAGATGTTATATTGGTTTCACTGGTAATAATAAATAATTGAAATGGGTATATATTTGTTTTTTGTTAAGTTGCCTAATAATTATGCACAGTAATAGTCACCTGCACACACAGATATCCCCCTAACATAGCTAAAACTAAAAACAAACTAAAAACTACTTCCAAAAATATTCAGCTTTGATATTAATGAGTTTTTTGGGTTCATTGAGAACATGGTTGTTGTTCAATAATAAAATTAATCCTCAAAAATACAACTTGCCTAATAATTCTGCACTCCCTGTATAATTCTCTGTGTGTGTGCCTCATGGGAAACCAGCCACCTTTTTGTATGCCCTTGTTATCCCGTGTTATCCCCCTGATGGCTGTACCACTTTTCCCACCCTACCCACATCTCCCTGAACTTTTTGTTCGTGCAGAGTCAGTTGATATCTTTTCATACACATAGAACTGTTACACTTCATCTTTCAATTGTGAAAGGGACGGGCAAGTGTGTTTTTTCCAGTTTGATACTATGAGGCTTCGGGCTGCCATCAAAATTAGTGTTATCAGCTGTTTGTTGCCACACTCCATGTCCCGCGGGAACAGTAGAAGGAAACAGTGCCCTTTTAACAACATAACAACATAACTTGGGAAGAAAAAATATAATCAAAACTACTGTAAAACAGTTAGAGAAACCTTAAAAATGAGGCAAATCCCCTATGGGGGGATTTTAAAATAAAGTCAGGGATAACATTTTTATAGACTTGATAGCTGGAAATAGCCCTGGAGAGGTATTGAGTTATTTATTGCTTGTCTGACAATATCCTATCATAAAATTGTGAATAAACATTGCCAAATAATACACTGTGATGTCCCAATAAACTAATGGTTTAGAAAACTCATCTACACATCAGACACGTTTTATGGAAGTGACTTCTGCAGAGCATATGGCGGCTGGTAATTAATGTGAGCTTAGTTAAAAAAATAACACTATGATAAAACCATTTTACTAGCTTTCTTTAATAATCTTTGTGTTTATTTTCGAAACATACAATCTGTGTTCTTGTTCTACATAATGTATAATATACATGTATTATAATGTATAATGTAATAATAATAATACTAATACTCATCTTTGTAACCCTTTTAGAATCACAATTTATGCCAGTATAAAATGATCAGCTTAACGAGATAATAAGATTTTATTGAATAGCAGTACAGTTCAGTTTATAACTGCTTGTCCACATGTCTTCCAACAGACTTTCGATTAAAACACTTAGTTTACAGGTAGTGACTCTGCATGTTTTATTCTGCTGATTGGGTTCCATATGTTGCTGTGGACAAATATTAATTTTTAAATATATGGTAGTAAATATATGTGCATTACTTTGTGAGTCACTTCAACTGTAACTGTATAAACATTATTCAAAATGTCTGCTGATGATTGAAATCTAACCAATGATTATTCGTGATGACAAATTACTACTGCTCCAGTATCTCTGCCCTTTTGTAATGGTTTATTCGAAATCAGTTGCAATCCATGTACATTTAGTACCAGCATTATACAAGGTCAGGGTAACTAGCCTTCACATCATATTTGAAGCAGGTTATATGGTATGACATTGAGCTATAGGTGGTTTCCTTAATCCTGTCGTTAAATATGACAATCCTATAAGGGTAGCAATGCAGGACGTTTTCTGCTAAAAAAAAACTGCAAGATGCAGCCAAGGTGCAGGTAGCAACATTTTATTCATCCAATTGAAATTCTGAAACAAATGATGAACAAATTTAATCTGAAAACGAATGAACAAATGGACAAAATTTGTTTAGGTATAAAAAAAATTCCATCTGAATGTATTATGCAATTACACCATGTAATACTTGCGTACTATCTCATCAATAAAGTAGTACTAAAGTAAAAAAAGGCGTTTCATTATTAATTTTATTTTTTTCCAGTTTTATTCATACACACCTATGTCAATCGACCACAATGCAACACATACACATTACAGTTCCTTAATGCTTTTATTTCTGTTTAAAGGATTATTTTTCTGTACTCACCACACTGTCCACAGGCAATGCAAGGTGATTAGTCTTTTTTACTTCTTCAGTTGCTCCACAATTTAGTTTTATCTTCAAACCACAAATGTTCTGCGTATAATGTAAAATTTTACCTTGGAATAATTGTAGCCTAATGCTTCCATGATTTTCGGTTCACATAGCGCAAAATATTAAAAGCCATAGTCTATTTCCCACGGAAATAAATGTTATCATTATATTTTTCTCTAAATTTCTATTACTGTCTGTGCTAGAATTTGCAGTTAAACCTAGTGATAAATACATTATATTGTATATTAAAGATTCCGGCTCTAAAACAGAATTATCTATGTGGAAATAAAGTAAAGGCACAGTATTCACAAAAAGCCCATTGTGAAGCTGAAAACATTTTAGAATTCATAATACATAAATGCAAACCATTTGCAGGATGAATTTGTCATGTGTCTCACATTGAATGTAACGCTTTCGCAACTGCTTTTGTGTGTCTGTCTGACTTATATTGAAGTATTTTTTATCTAATGCTATATTCTAGTTTAATACATCCAGATAGGTTTTTATTTATACAATAAAGCCCTTTCCTTCTTTACTTTAAAAATTAGATGTCCCTAAGTTCATCCTTCTGCTTGATATAAAATCTTCTATAGTTATTTGCAACAAAATGAAATTCAGTTTTATGAATTTTAAACTCAATAAGATAAAAGTAATAAAGTGATCTTTGTGGATATTAAGAATAGAATGAATATAGTTTAGTTTTTAAAAAAAAAAGTAAAAGGAGAGTTTGAACTTCATCAGCTATCTTGTTTTTATTCCGAAATTAAAAATGTATTTTAGAATTTAATGTTACTAACAGGAAAATCAAAAGAAGAAGTCAATATCAGGATTCTAAATTATTACAATAAGTAAGAAATAAGCATCAAAGTTATATGTAACACAAAGTAATCATGTATGAATGAAACTACCCAACCTTGAGAAAGGAGAGGAGGTAAGAAATAGTTGGTGGGGGAAATTAATGAGATTTAGCTATCATCCCTCCCAAACTGCATCCAATCCATGTCATCCATGTATCTCACCATCTGGCAAATAGTATTTCATTAAATACA